AACAAAATAAAGAGATAAGAGAATAACAGATTTAGAAAATTTGTAAAAGAACGAAATAAGACAAGATTTGAATAATATAATAATAGCATTTAATAATGAAATACTACAAAAATTGACTTATGTACTATGTACAATATGTGGAAATTTTGACTTATAATACTTATAAAAATTATACTTATAATAATTATATACTTATTATAATTTATCAAGAATGCTTTTTATTTATACATAACAATGCTTAACAATGCTTAATTTTGCTAAATCTTGAAATGGTTAAGATTGGTTAAGATTGGTTAAGTTCGACATATTTGATGAAACAATGAAGGGATAGAAAAATAACAGAATTACAGAATTTGTAAAAAAATTATTTATTTACTTTATTTACTTATCCTATTTTCAAGAGGCAATCGGATCCCAACGAGGGGCAAACAGCATTGAAGAATTGCTTTTGAATAGATTCAATTGAATCTACGTAGCACCTATATGAAGGAGACCACACAAAAGAGGCATACTCAAGTATAGGCCTAACCAAACACATGTAAAGCCTTTTCGTAATGTAGGGATCATCAAGCTCTTTGGACCACCTCTTTATAAAACCAAGCACGGACCTAGCTTTGCTTATCGAGAGCTCAATATGCAAGTCAAAACGTAACCTGTGGTCAAATAGAACGCCTAAATCTGTGAAGAATCGACGTCCTTAAAGTTGTGGGAATCAATGAAATACTGAGTAATGAATGAATTCCTTCTCGAACACCAAAGCTTCTTACATTTATTTAGATTAAGTTTCAGAAGATTCAAAGAGCACCATGCAACCAAATTATTCAAGTCACTTTGAAGCTGATGTAATTTCAATTCTACGGATAAGGAAGAAAACAGTTTCACATCTTCAGTATACATTAAGATCTCGCTGGATTTAATCACCGATGGGAGATCATCATGAGGTACACCAGACATCACGAGGAATTCATCAGAAGTGATGAATTTAAACAAAACCCTGAATGTTCTAGTGTGCAGATAAGAGCTTAACAATTTCAATAAAAAGAAAGGAAAGCCAGAGGCTTGGAGTTTAAAGATGAGTAGTTTATGGTTAACCAAATCAAACGCTTTTCCAAAATCAGTGTATATGACATCAGTGCGAGAGCCACTAGAAAAAGCCTTGAAAACATGACAAGTAAACTCTAGCAAATTGGTGACCGTAGATCTTCCTTTTCGGAAGCCATGTTGGAGAGGATGGCAAGGGCCATATGCTGCGTCATAATTCGCTCAAATAATTTAGGCAATACACTCAATTTGGCAATGCCTCTGTAATTCTTTACAAGTTGCCTACTTCCACTTTTTAGAATAGGAATAAGGAAACAAGTCTCCCAACACAAAGGGAAATGACCTAAATTCATGAACTTGTTAAAAATCCTTTCGATAACACCGCATATGAATAGTCAAAACGTGTTATCGGAAGTATTCCGCAAAGAGATTTGATATCTCAATATCATCCCCACTCAGAGCCATTAAAAGAAACATGCGAGATCTTTTTTTGGATTAAAGAGCTTAAAAAAGTATTTAGGATTAACACAAATTTCAGTAAAATTGGCAAAGCAAAGATCAAGCAATCTACCATTGCAATTAGGGGTACCGTTTTATTGAACTAAATTATGATCATTAAAGAACACAACAGCTCTATCAGATGTTGAAGTAGGAATCAAACAGCCAAAACTATCACTGTAACACCAAGCGACTTGAGGCAAATTGAAGTCACCTAGCGCAATGATTATATCAGTATTGCTTGGCCACTTCGCAAATAACGGCGGCCTATTTCTTACATATGGAATTATTAGAATTTGGGAGATCAGGTCATATATAAGTGTTTATTAGAAATTTCGTTTGAATAGCGATAAATTCAACGTCGGTGGTAGCGGGAAATTCAATTGAATAGGAGGGGACTGCCGCAGATATCGCAATTACAACACCACCCCCATTGCGATACAATCGTTCATTTCTAAAACCTGAAACGAATTATGGAAAAGTTCCCACGAATGTAACCAAGTTTAAGTGAAAGCCAGTGCTCACTGAATTTAGGAGAGCAGAACGAATTTTTGAATTTATACCCCTAACATTTTCATAAATGAGAGATAATGAGCCTGAAGAATATTTCGTTTTTTGAAGGGGAAAGGACTACTGCATTAGTATTACGGGGTCAATCACGAGAGATAAATTCCTTAATTAAGGATCCAACTGGCCACCATGGTTTATTTAACAACATATCAATGTTTTCAGTCGGAAGTAACATTTCAAAAGATGAGATTGCTCTAGATTGAGAAAGAGCCAATTTGAAAATGCTAAGACGACAGATGTATCAAGTGCTAATCTTGACACAAATATTGCCTTTCTGGGAGGAACTGTCATCAAGCAAATGTTATTACTACTAGGAAGAGTAGGGTTCACGGCTGGAGAGTTTTGAGTTGGGGAGAATATAGAAGGGATAACCACACTTGCACGAGCAGCTTGTGCGACATGCACACTTTGGAGACCAACGCTTACTTTCGAACAGCCGGGGGGAGAGGACGATTTACTATTCTCATTATTAGTTTTAGGCGATGACGCCTGAGTAGATTGAGTGCCGCCAATGGGAGGGGATACCCTTGCCACTTCAGTACAGCTCAAACCACAAACGACTTCCCGGCTTATTTGCAACCTTTTTGTTAACGGCCGACTCAACAATAGCAGAAAAGCTAACCTTCTTTGTACACTTTGAGGAATCGCTAACATGCACCAACGAATCGGGCTTAAGAGCACACTGAGGTGACGTACCACACGCTACTCTACGAGTTGTAACTTTGCTAGCTGAGGAAGAAGATAAGTGCTCAATAAAACGACACTCATCAAACCTAGTCTTAATTATCTCAAATTTCCCCCCTAAGGAGCCGAGATTTTTACTCAATTCAGAGAAATAATTTTTCGTCTTCGTGAACAATTTGTAGAAGTGTATGTCCTGCTTCACCAGCGCGGCCGATAATACCGGCATACTTTGCATGGCAAAAACGATCACAAAGCCCACACGAGATGAATTTTTCAGATATTGGGCCTGTTTTCGCATGACATGGTGTATATAAATAATCTATGCCCAGTCGAAAACGGCAGAAGTGAATTATGAAGAAAAAGAAGAACAATATGCAAAAAGATCCACAACACATAAACTGTCAACAAATTAACCAAACTTCTCCGTTCCGCTGGCACTATAACAAGAGAGCGAAAGCAAAACAAAACTGCAAACACCAAGAAGTGAGAAGAAAAAGCAAAGCGTAAAGACAATATAATTTCTTTACTTTAAATTCACTCACTTTATTCTAAAGATTTTTACAAATTTAGACACAATGAAAAATAGCCAAAAAATTCAAAAAGAAATTAAAATATTAATTGCAGAAAAAATCAAGACGACTACACCGCGCGCGCAGAGTTTCCAAACGCCATATAATAATGAAGTAGTACAAAAATTGACTTATACATATGTACAATATGTAAAACTTTCTACTTATAATACTCAATAAAACAAAGGTTCTTCATGTAACAATTTATCAAAAATGCTTTTTATTTATGCTTAACAATGCTTAATTTTGCTAAGCTTTGATATGGTTAAGATTGGTTAACTTCGACATGCTTGATGAAATCCTACGCCACCAGCTATTTATTTTATTAAGAGCGAACAAATCGCTGACATTATAAAATCTTCAAAAAACAGTCGCGTAGAGTCGACTATTTAATAGGTATCATAAACGGTTCTTAACTTGTAATACTTCCCGCGAAAATGGAAAACTTCTAGAATAATTCCAATTCCTAACCAAATAGGCTAAGAAAATGCTCCTCATTATACAGACCGACAGATTCCTTCATCGATGACAGAAATATCCTTCCTTTGCACCATTTTGGATTTAGAAAGAAATGCAACACTATAGTACTATACATCGACTTTCAAAACTCGTCATTTTGTTAAATCAAACTTTAATTCCGGAAATTTTAATGCAATGGTTTTGCTCAACATCAACGCTGCTTTCGGTTCGGTTTGGCACGAAATTGTTGGAATCATAGAAAGCTTTTTGAAATACATACGCTTTAACATCTCTCTAGGATCGTGTGGTTCACACAAATGTGACCATCAAAACTATATTTCATTCCTTCATCTTTTATGCTTCTTCCATTCGGTCCTTTACTAAAAAACTAGAAATTGCCCAAAGCAAACTCTGACCTATAATCTCTCCTAGCATTTTTCTTAATCTACACTCAATTTATAGTTTCCACCATCTGCACGACAAAATATGAAGATTACGTGTTTTAGTACGAAAGGTCGAAGTTCGCAATACTCTCATATCAATGAACTTCAATTATTGTAAATATTTCTTTTTTAACTTGTTTACTTTTTTTTAGTTGAGACCTGTATCGATATGACAAAAGGGACAAAACATAAATTTTTTTTACGTTTGCCTTTCGTTTTTGAAAACCGAAAACAAAAATTTTATATACTCTTACTCTTGGCTTGCACTTCTCCTCTTTTTGTTGACTGACAAGCAGCAATCGCATCAGCAATAAGGCTTCGTTTCATAGACGGATCAACGTTCATAAACAAATCGCGAAGTTCATTTGCCATTCTTAAGCCTTCACTAAAACTTTTCAAATTAAATGTCACATTTCCAGTGCTTGTTGAAGCCTCTTCTTCAATGGGCTGTGAATTTAACATTTCCTCCAAGTCGGTTTTAGTCAAATCTTCATCTTGCGATTCAAGCAATTCCTGAATGTCACTTGATTCTACCTATTCAAACCCATCTCGTCCTATTCCATTCGCGATTTCTCCTATGTTTGCAGTAAAAGTTTGAACTTGCACAGATTTCCCGCAGTCACAGCAGGCCACGGTTTTTTCCAGCATGACTTCAATGTGGGTGGCTTCAGTTCTTCCAATGATTCTTTTATGTTTACGACACATTTCACTATGTCAAATTTCTTCCTGCGTTCCATAACATTCGTACCAGGATTACATTCCATATTATCCAATATGATTTTGAAGGTTCGTCTAATATAATAAAATAGATAATCGTCTAATGTAAAAGCCTTGATTAATCCGCGAATAAAGAAATTTCGCATTTTTTTAATCCGCGAATAGTGAAAACGCGCATGAAGGAAGCGCGAATAAAGAACTTTTACTGTACATAATAATTGTAGTTGCGTATTCAGAAAGTTACGGAAAAAGCGTTTTGGTTATACGCCATAAAATTACATTAAAGATTATATTAAGCAAATGAGGTAGTGTGCATGCTATACTATAAGTACATATTTAAATTATATCAACTTAAGTGCAATAAATATGGCAGGAACGACCACCTAAGTTATGAATATGGGTAGTAGAAGGAGAAGTCAAGCACCACTCATACCAGACCTTCTTTTTCGAAACACAGCGCCAGAAATGAATTTTAATGATTTGTCCCTTTATAACTTCCAGAGGCTCCTTAAAAAATAAAATTTTAATAATTTAATAATATATTTACATATTCACCACCAATAAAAAGACTCATAATACATTCACTATTGTTCTCACGTAGATATAGGCGTAGATCTCATAAAGCATTAAATCAGCACAAGGTGTCAACTTTATCGTGTTCATTTTACGTGGTTAATTTACTTTAATTCAGACTGACGTAATTGAAGGTATCCTAAAAGGACCGTTAGCTTCTTTCTTAATTTTAAACTCACCGTGAAAGGAAAATACATAGGAAACCACGATACCAATCCATGTGTGTGTGTAGACGGATTTATGCTTATTTTTATATCACTATATAAAGTCGACTCGAAATATCCAGCTATTCCAGTCAAAATGCAATCTGCTTCCACCGGAAAGTTCAATATTTTATAGCGGCTATTATCGATGATCGGATCACGATTGGGATGTACAAACTCAAATAAAGATTGCGGCACCCCGATGTTGTAGATGCTTTTTAATAGCACGACATAACCGCTTTCAGCATGCGTTAAATATGTTGCCTGTTTGTCACGAGCAAATGACTCGCTCCGCACTTGACGTACAGCATTATACAATTTTGATGACATGATTGGATTGATATATGAAATAGATTTGCATGGTATACTGATACCATCGGTTTTGAGTAAACGTTGAGCACAATCTAAACACTCAGGAGATAATTCATTGTCTCCAAAGGAACCCAACAACTCGGAGACTAAAATATCAGCTTGTTCCGGTGGAGAAAATTCACGCATGTCCTTTGAGAAGAGATGAACGTCTGTAAGGATCCGACAAATAAGCATCCCATTGCTTCACGAAATTATTAAATTACCTTTGGTGGACCATAACTCGTCCACCATAGCTGAGAGTGTCCTTATGGCATTAGGGTTCTTTTCAATAATATAAACGCGAATTTTGCGTTTAGTATTCTCAGCAGCGTTTAAAGCAGAACGAACCAAAGGCCCCCTTCCAGCTCCTAAAACCATTATCACTGTCTGCATATATATAATAATGTAATTAGCCAAGATTCATTTAGGTAGAAAAATTTGATGTCCTTTTTTTTTGTTTTTTTTTTTTAGTATAACAGGTATTCGTTTAGAGCAAGTGCAACACTACAGTTCTCTGCAGGCTTGTTCCTATTTGTTATAGCAATATTTGTCACAATAAGAACTCACCAATTTATCCGGGATTTCGGAATCGGACACACGATCGATTAGTGCTGCAGCTATTGCATCTTGGTACATTTTATATTTAACTGGATCCCTTTCAAATATCTCATACGTATAACAATCTAGATTATCATATAGTGGTTGCAGAGGTATCTCCAAGACGTCCTCGAAACTGCAAAAATTCTTAACTGCGGAATATATTTATAAAATACTTATCTCTACCTTTCTAAAGAGTGCGCGTCCTTATGAATATCCCGGAAATTTTGTAAGTAATCTGAATAGAGTTTTAGACTATTATCATTAGCGTCAGTTGCGACTACAATATTAGCATGTGCTTGTAAAACACATTTTAAAACTTGCTGCCATGCTTTCGGTAATACAGGATATTTTTGCCTATTGCGTATAAACAAATTCGATGGTATAATAACAGCTTCCAGTGGTTCTCCGACCCAACGGCGTACGATATCTAAACTAGGCCGTTCAACTTCATTAAATTCCAGTACCACCTTCATTTTAGAATTAAAGTCGGCTGCACGACGAAAACGGTTCCACCACTGCCATGTATCTTGTTGTTCCAAATCCAATACCTCTTCCTCACTGAGATCGCGACGCCACACTGCATGGGCTGCGGGTGCATTATATAACGGCACTTGTACCAAGAGAACACCTATAACCTCATAGAAATTATGGGTTTACAGCTCGAAAAAATTACTTCCTTTTCAAACCTTTAATTTGCTGCGTGATCACACGTGCTAAATTCAAATTTTTGGCACGCCTTAATTTTATGAGTATGTAGCCGCCATACTGTAAATGTTCTGCCCACGATATGTCTCTCTTTAGAATTTCTTCCGAATTTTTTCTTACTACAGGATCTATGGAATCGCAATCCATGAGCTCAGACAGCATGAGTATCGTTTTTGTATTCCATTGATCAGCAGTTAACAGTAAATCACCGTAAGTAAACTTAGAATCCGCTTTGTTCATAGGTTCTTTTTGAAATTCTAGAGGAATTTCCCTAATTTTTTCATTTTAGAGAGCTTTACAAAATATATGCATCAATCCATACTCACATGGCGTTTAAGGGTGCCGCTATTACATTAAATCCATTCAAATTGGCTCTTTCAATTAAACGCGACAAATTAGCATTGCCTTCTTGCATTAAGCATAAATAGGGCATTTTAGAAAATTACTGCGCTTCTCAAAACAACTACGGAATCTTCAACAATAAAAACACAGTTCGCTAGTACAACGTATTAAAGGAAATGAATGAACAGTGCAAACAAATTCCTGGCTCTTTTTCGGGAGAATTCAATATTGTTTCATATTCCTCTTACAAACAAATATCAGAGTGGCCATTATTAATTTGAATTTTTTAATAACTTCATATGTGTGTTGCCTCACATATATAAATTTTGATGCACGACTGTCGATTTATAAATTTTATCAATACAATATCACTGATATATTGTGAAAGCATTTCAATCGAAAAATACTCAAAACTTTTCTGAATGTGAGTGGTAGAAAGAATATAAAGAAAATACAAACTTATGTTTGTGAAGAACAACCTACTTGGGTTCCAGTTCGCAATGGTCTAAATGAAAAATGTTCGTATTCATAAATAAATATGATAATTTTGCAAACGTTGGTGGACAAAAATCCATTAACTATATTTGGATCCCAAATATTTTGTTGAGTTTTTACCAATGTCTACCATAATATGGAATTCTTTGTCCTACCATGGCACTGATTATGTATGGTGTTATTTTCGAGTTTCAATCTTTTTAGCTATATGTATGCACAAAAGATGCGAGAAACGCTCTCTCAGAATTGTCAAAACCGGCGTAAGCAAAACTGATGTCGCTTTGCATTAATATTGGTTGTTTAAAGCTGAATTTACAAAAGAAAACAACCATATATTGAAAAAAAATAAATTGCAAACAAAATTGTTTACTGAAAAACAGAAAAAAGATGTTAAATTTGTGAATGTGTGCAAATCAGCTCTGTTTTTGTTTGTTTTTACTCCAATTGTCGAATTAATATTCTTAATCCGCCAAAGCTTGTAATTGTGTTTATTAACAATTTTTCCATACATCATCATATAGCGTTGCTATCGTTGATAAAGCGTCACGGAGCAACAAATAATAAAAATTCATTAGTATATTAGATATATTGTCCTTGTCGTACACTGGTCTAATCCATTTTACGAAACAAAACCAAAAAAAGTTAAAATGTTGTTAACATGTTTTTGAAAATTAAAAAGTTGGCTTTTATTTGTGTAATAGAAAGCTAAAATTGAGTTGCAATTCATTTTAAAATATTATATACTTTTTGTAGGTAAACTGGTATTGCATTAATTTAAGCTCGCGTCATAACCTATTTCCTATTTACCGATTAGAAGACTCGGAAACAAACGAGTTTTTGTTTTCACTATATAAATAAGGATTCCGTTAGGCTTCTGTCAACTTTTTTATGTGGTGCATGTTACATTCAATTGTTTTTCTTAACCTCTGAAATGAAGTCAAAAAGTACATATTCGACATGTAATGCTTGCGTTAAAAATTAGTTTGTATAATTCCATTCTGCAGATATGACTGTGGGCGGAGCGACCACCTGAGTTTGGCGACAACTTCTTAAAGGCAATATTGAAGCAAAATCCAAGCCAATAAAGCAGATGCACAGCAAAAAGGTTGACTACCTTACCATTAATACTTAACCGCCATCTGGAGAAATTAAGGAAAGCCCGCAAGTTGAGAGTATGAGTACCTCACAATTTTAGTGAACGGAATAAATATAATATAATTTTGTTATCAATGAAAGCAAAATAAATGTCTAATAAAAAAATAAAAGTTACTTATAAATAAACGGATATTTCTAAAAAACAGGCCGTGTGCATCCTCAACAGTTTTACATAATTTTAGGTTTGTATGATTTTATTATTGATTGTAAACAAACAAACGTCAAATTTTCGAACACCATACATAACTCTAAACCAAATGTTCTCATAGTACGCCTTTCAAATGAAATCCAGTTAACTAAAAACTGGGTTATTGCTCCATTAGAGTTCTCTTTCTAAAACTTTTATACACGGTAGAGATAGATTTCTAATGTAAAAGAAAATCAATTAAAAAATAGTTTTTTAATTTTTATTATAAAAATGTTTTTATATATTACTTATTTATTTTTTCTATTTTAGTTAAGAAAAATTAAGTCCAACTCTCCGCTCATCGCCTCATATAGATGGAGATTCGCTAGATGTCAAAAGTAAGATTGCATTTACTCTTTGTTATTATTATGTATAAATAATTCATTTGTTTTTATGTCATTTTAGATTAAAAAACAAGCATATACCTGCACTATCGCTTCAGCGATACTTCCTTGGTGAATTGTGGTCATGTTTATATATAAAATTCAATAACCGCAATATTTTTCTTTTGCAGATATCAACACACCGGCACAGCAGCGCTCCTTATGTATTACTATGTATGTATATATTAGCGCGGCTTTTATTGTATATATTATTATAGTTTTAAATTAAGTTTTTAATGGAGTAGGCCTACAGGGGAGCCAGCCATTCAAAACAAATTGGCAATGCGCCTACGACGGTACCTCATGGGTGGTGTGGAAAACCGCTTTCTTTCTCTCCATGGTTTACGCTGAATAAGTCCATAAAAATAAATGAAAAATTGTTATTTTTTGTAGAGGAATGTCAACACCATCGATTTTAGCCGTAATTTCTTACTAGTCACTGATTAACATTTTCGCAAACACTTTTTGTATCAGAATAGTTTCCCATAATTAGTCCATTGCTCTTATCATCCTTTTTCTGATCAATGTACACATGCGTTTACTTTTATGTTATAACACTTTCTGACATGACCACGAAAGTAAAAACAAAACTGCAAGGTAATCGCCTATCTGAAAGTTACTTTTCGTTGCATTTGTGGAAGACTTTGATTATCATATATTTATTGATTACAATGTGCATTTCAGCCAATGTAAATATCATAACTCAGATATTGCGTTATGTAGCCGATTTGAGGATTTCCATTAGGTAAGTTCCAAATGCAATACTGCTAATAAAGGAAAAATTAACAAACACACAAAGCATGTGCTTTCTTGCGAGAATTTGTTCACAATTTCAAACAGAACACGGAGACTTCCTTAAGAACCATTGGTGAGTTGCCACTGCATAACCAAGGCGAATTATCGAAAATGTTTTGATCTTGACTTTCTTAATATTTGTTGAATGTAAACGTGGAAATAATTGAGGGTTAATAGAAGAGTAGTGTTGATGATTTGGTAGATTTCCTTCTATAATTTTCTTTTTAACTTTTTTCCAATGTACCTCTGGAGATCAAACTTTTCCATGACATCATCCTTAATTAGAGGTACAGAAGCAGCAGACTTCGCCACTCGCCAGCTTGCTGACTTCTAAATAGCCCAAAGCATCTTTATTTCATGGGCGCTTTCCAATAGCTTTTTATATAAACAAACTATCAGTGACAATGACAGTTTTAAGTTCGACTTTAGAAGAAAGGTTCGTAATGTGAAGGATAACTCTAGCTTTGGTTGTGAAAGTTGCAGACGAGCCTATCCTGAAGCATCTGCCACGGCACGAAGGTGACAGGTAATATTCCTTTTTTTTCATCTATAGTTATGTAGGTCATTGGGTTTTGGTGAAATAATTGCGACGTAAGTGGGTAGAAAATTTATGATCGTACCTGGGAATATACATAAAAGCATATTTTTTTATCCAAAAAAACCATACCCCGCCTTTTTCGATTCGCATTCTGAACCAGTCATTGAAAAGCGAATTTTACCAGATTTTACATTTACAATTGTAAATGTACTTTATAACTCTTGAAATAGATCGCTTGCTCAGTGATAGGATAGGATCCATGGGCCAAGAAGTGCAATTTAAAAAATGTATCCAAAGTGATAAATAAAATGGATTATTTAGAAAGAGTACACGTTTATTGACAGAATTTCAAAGGAGTTTTTTGATTGTAGAGTCAAATTCCCAAATGAAATAACGTCCTACAGTAATATCTTAGGAAATCTAAAAACCGAATGAAGACCAAATCTTCTAGCAGGATCGGGTAGTTTTTATCCCTGAAATGTTTCAGGAATCTTTTACGAAGCAAACTAAGAAAATTGATTAATAAATACATTAAAACAAAAAGAGGTTTGTTAAACTAATACAAAGTCGTTGTAATTATTTTTTCTTCCGTTTTTTATATTGTAAGGATCAAAGTTACCCCGCTTCACGTAGCCTAAACCCATATGTATAAGTATATCTACACGTAAGTTAGACTGATAAGATCGTATTTATAAGAGTAGATGTTTATGGACTTATATTGATATGCGTAGTACATAGACGGATTATTAGGCTAGTACTCGCCAGTAATGCGCAATGCAGTACCGCCGCACGGAGAGCGCTGGAAATTATTGTGGCTAGGCGATAGATTGGCAACGACAATCAGACGAGAAGACAAGGAGAAGACTTCCGTATTGCTTGCCTTTCCGTTTGGGTGTTGGGATGTTGGACCGAACCGCCGTTGTGACGTTAGGATGAAATAGCCGTTTTAAGTTTAAGTTAAATTAATAATTTTAAGTTCGGTCGTAGGTCAATAAAGTAATTATATCACAATGAGAACGTTGGAATTTCTCCGTATTAAGGTAAGGGAAAATAAGCAACCTCACAGTACACTCTTCTTTTAACATCTTAAAATTTTTAAAAATTTTACCGCTGCTCCGTTGCACTACATTTTGTGATTATAATAATAACGCACTGTTATCTGTTAAATATCAAGTCATGTTTTTCTAGTCTTCGTACTCATGTTTAAATGTCAGAATAACAAAAAAGCATGAAAAGAGCAGAAGAACTACTGCGGCGATAACATATTGTTCGCCATCTGTCAATGCAGTTGCGCAGTATAAGCCTGTAGATAACACAAAAAGAGATACAACAAAGCAGCGTTTTATTAACAGGAAAACAAAGTCATACAGTTAATCGAAGACTTTTTGCAAAACTTTATGGCAATTGGCATATCATTAGTTTTGCATATATACATATAAAAAAGAATCATAAGAAGAAATGATGATGATCTAATTTATGTTTATCTTACTATAAAGAAAATTTTTTTATATTATGTGATTTGCAATTTTGGTTTACACTGTACATTATTTTGTAGGAAATGAAAAACAAGCAACATTTACTTCAAATTTTTGTATTAGAAAGTCATAAATGATAATTTACAAGTTGTGGACTAACTAATACACTAAAAAGCACTCGATGGCTTCATAAAATTTAAGCAGGTTATGAAGATTAATAAAGTCGTAATTTTTTCATATATATATTTTTTTTTTTTTTTGGTATGTTGAACAGAGATGGACTAAGCCAATAGATTTGTGGCTTATATGTCCAGATAATAAACTGTTGTAATTTTTAGTCACGATTATGTATAAAAAGTAACAAAAAAAGAAGAGCGGCCGTAATAACTGGAGTGAGCATGTTAAATGTAATTGTGTGTGTGTGTGTGTGTGTAATTGTGCTTGTTAAGTTCTTGAAAGTTAAACAGTGTTGCAAACTTTGGCTGAAAACGAAAAGCAATGCTATGGTAATAGAAGATTATTAAACGCAAAAACGAAAGAAAAAAAAGGAAAGAAGAGGAAAAAAAAAATTCTAAAAGGATAAATTAGCTTTTCTAATAAAGCAAGTTAGTTCCCCGAGATGACGTACATTTTTTGCTGCAAAGAGATCGAGGAGACAGCCATATAACTTGAAGAAGCTAAAGGAATCTCTAATGCCATCAAGCCTGTGACATCTGAAGATTAGATGCTCAGCAGACTCAACAACATTGCAAATTTCACAAACATCACATGGTATAGCGCGAATCATTTTTAAATAAACTTTGTCATAAGTGTGACCACTCATGAGTCTATAAAGAATTTTGATTTCCCAGGAATTAAAGGAAGATACAGAGAAGGGTTTGAATTGAAGTGTGGGATTTAATTTATAGAAAAGACGATTGGATTTAACGCGCGCGATTACTTTAAATTCGTCGTTTAGCTGTTGAAGGATGTGGTTGCGAATTGCCCGAATTGCTTCATTGGGAGTATATTTGATGGACAAAATTGTTCCATCAACACGAGCTCTCCCTGCATGAAAGTCGGCTTTTACATTTAAAAAAAAAGCCGCAGTGGCCAGGTACCCAAACGAGGTGACAATCATCCACTTGAGATTCGTGCAACGTCTTGTGAATGTCAAACACATATTGATTTTCTGCATCTTTTTTATTTATTAGAAGTAGAGCAGACCTGCTGTCGGAAAAAATAACAAAACGTCTGATACCATCGAAATAGCAACCATGATAGCATGTCGAATGGCGAGCAACTCAATAAAAGTAGAGGAAAGTTCCTCTTCCACTTTGACTCGGAGTATTGTTTCAGAGAGATGTTTCACGACCGAGAAGCCAGATATATTATGTCCGACGGAACCGTCAGTGGCATATATATCACATCCGTTGTTGTAATAAAAAAGGAGCTTTTCTTGGCATAACAACCTTATACAAGAGAAGTTGACATTTTGTTTTGAGGTAGAGATTGGTTCGAGAATGTTCATGAAGACTTTGCATTTGCTGGTACTGAAATTCAAGGGGGGAATTGAATCTAACTTATCAAAAATATGACGAAGTTTTTGATAGCAAAAAGTATAGCTGCAAGTGACAGTGTCACTGAGAGATATAATTTCCTGAAAAAAGGAAGGATTTATCATCTTGACTTTAACTAACTCCTTGGCAGTGCAAAAAAGGGCTCTTTCGCAAACTGGCCATTCACCAGATATAGCATTGAGAATAAGTTGAGGAGTTGAGGGGCTCAGTCCGGTACAACGCTTTAACATTCGGTTTTCAAATGCTTGTATACGTTTTTCAATAAATTTTGGGAAATTGCAAGATGTGGAGATTTGTAAACGGTCAAAGCATTTTTGGAAGGCAAGCCTGCCTGATTGTTTGTCATGAGTTTGATGATGTTGCATCCAGACTGACAATCTTTGAACGCCTTTTCATAATGCCCACGAAAGGTTAAGCTGTCATTTAAAATTCTCCCAAGAAATCGAAGAGATTTTACCTGATTAACTTGGGTACCTTTGATAAGAAGTCTGATTGCACGTTTAGAACCTTTGGTAAAATAAATAGTGTTTGTCTTGCTGGGGTTAAAATGTAAATTAAGATCAGCGCATGCATCGAAAAACAAGTTCGCTTTCATCGAGAGGTTATTGACAGCTGCTGGAAAAGATGAGTCCGCAGATACGATTAGAAAATCGTCTGCATATTGAAAAATGTGAGTTTTGTCATCTTGAAGATCATGCAAAGAAGCTGCGTATAAATTGAAGAGTATGGGGCGTAAACAACTGCCTTGTGGGATACCACCGCATATTTCAACTTTTTCGGTACCCATCACCAACACACGCTTGGATAAAAAATTAAGTATCCACAACCGCATTTGAAGAGGAATCGAAAAGTTTAGGAGAATTCTACCAAGCTTAATCAAGTTGACAGTCAAGTCATAGGCTTTGCTAATGTCCAGGGAGAGCATGACAACCTTTTTCCCTCCTTTTTTTAAGCTGGCTATGAGAAAACACAATTCATTAACGCACATATTCGTAGATTTGCGTTTTTGATAGGCGTAAGACCGAGCTGGAATAATGTTCTTAGTTTTCAGGAAAGCAGTTAGTCTCTCCTTAACCATGAGGTTGATGGTCTTTATGAATACAGATATTAGTGAAAATGGTCTGAAGCTCCTTGAATCATTTAAGTCTTTACCTGGCTTGGGAATGGGAACTATTTTGATGCAACGCAAATCAGAGGGTATAAAGTTGATGGACCAGCAGTTGTTAATTGCATGCAAAGGCATGCTAAAGCTTCCTCCAGACAGTGCTCTGAGAATGTCATACTTGACTCCATCACAACCTGCAGCAGTAGCTCTCTTTCTGGAATGTAAAACATACATTAGCTCATGCAATGAAAAGGGTGTGTTACTGATACTACTAAAAGGAATTGAAGGCATTGTAATAGGATGAACAATTGGAATGTAGCTCTTGAGCATATCTAAGTATTTTTTATTATCACGGTCATTCCATACAGCACAACCGCTTGATTTTCGACTAGAATGTCGATGACCATTGATATAATTCCAGAAGGAACGTGGATTGCCGTTACCACATAACTCCTTAATAGCGATGGCTCTATGTGCCCTTTTC